TCATACACTTTAAAGTCAATGTGTGTATCCCTCCCCTTCAAAGTCAGACTCACCACTTCATGCCCCTAATCTTGCGAGAGCAGAACTACTCTTTTGTAACCCTTGTTTGTGAGCTCCCACGAGACGTGAGCTTCTCCTCACTCCTGTGCAACCAGGAGTGTGTTGAGCATTTCCTTGAATTCTCTTCTACCCAGAGCCCTCTGTTGAGTGTCACGTGACTGCCATCCTATGAGATTCTGCTCTTTGATGGCAGGTTGTGGATTTCCCTCATTGTAGCCTCCATAGCTCCAGCACTCTGTTTATTAAAGAATAACACGATTGAATATTTGTTAATTTGGTATTATTAAGAATTTTGCTTTTTATGAGACACCCCTGTAACCCCAGGTTGTCACGAACCTCAGACTGACCCTTGGAGGTCATCTCACTCAGGTTTGCCATCTTGGGGCGCTACACGCTCTGGATTTCACCAGCTTCCCCCCTCCCCATCAAACTGCATCTGCCCTGTATCCTGAGCCCTCTGATATGCCTTCTGTGGCCCGGGCTCGGTGGCTCAGCCTGTAATCCCAGCACTTTAGGAGGCCGAGGCGAGAGGATTGCCTGAGCCCAGGGGTTTGAGACCAGCCTGGACAACTTGGTGAGACCTCGTCTCTACAATAAATCACAAAAAAATCAGCCAGTCGTGGTGGTGTGCGCCTGTAGTTCCAGCTATGTGGAAGGCTGAGGCAGAAGGTTCACTTCAGCCTGGGCGACAAAGAGTGAGACTCCAAAAAAAAAAAAAGAAATGCCTTCTGTAAAGTGCTGATAGGATAAATATACCACTCTGGGAGAATATGGTGGCTGCTTATGGATAGCTTCATTTTTTAGTCCGCCAGTTAGTTCATTTATAATTAATTGGTTTTTATTAATAATCTAGCAACAATGACAATAGCTCTCATTTATAAAAGTGCCTGGCACATAGTAGATGCACAGTAATTATTGGCTTATTATAATTAGCAGTGATAATGACCATTTTTGTATTAGTAATAATAACAGTGACCATAATGAGCTCATTCTGGACTGGGTTTTTAAATATTTTTTTGTATTATCTCAAGGAAGCAATTGGAATTATAGTTAATTTAATTCCAGGAGTTGATCTGGAATAAATAAGTCATTAATTTTTTTTAAAGTAAACTGTGTCTGTGTGTGTGTGTAACCACACACACGCATGTTTCTCCTGATTGCAAAAGGATAGAGCTGGTGGTTAAGTGTGTTGGCTTTGGTGTTCAACTGTCTGAATTCAAATCAAGGTTTGTCACAAGCTAACTTTGTGACCATAAACAATTTCCCTAATCTCTCTATGTCCTAATTTTCTCATTTGTAAAAAGGGATAATATAGTACATAACTCATAGGATTTTGAAAAGTAAATACACAATGAATGTCCATTGTGTCCATAATAGCACTCACTAGTGTACATGTTGTTTTTTTTATTATGGTTGTTATTTTTATAAAACTAGAAGACTTCGGAAAAGCTAAACAGAGAAGTCATTTAATTTCATTATATAATCACTATTAACATTAACACTGGACTATAAGCTCTTTCTGTTTATATGTATGCCTAAGTTTATTCAATTTTTATAAAATTATAAATTATCATTAATTTGTTTTAATAATTTATTTTTCTGTGTCCAGTGTACTTTGTTTTATGTATCACTCAATAATTTGTTTTTCCAGTTTACTTCTCTGTGCCAAATACATATTCTTATCTATAGTTTTATTTTATTTTATTTTTATTTTTTTGAGTTGGAGTCTCACACCCAGGCTGAGTGCAGTGACACAATCATGGCTCATTGTAGGATCAACCCACTGGGCTCAGGCGATCCTTCTGCCTCAGCCTCCTGAATAGCTGGGACTACAGGTGTGCGCCACCACACCTAGCTTAATTTTTTGATATTTTTGAAGAGATGAGGTCTTGCTATATTGCCCAGACTGATCTCGAACTCCTGGACCCAGGCAATCCTCCTGTTTCAGCCTCCCAAAGTGCTGGGATTATAGGCATGAGCCACCACACGCAGCCTCCTTATATAGTTTTAATAGTTGCATATTAGTCCATCATATGTATGTTCTGTTATTTAATCTAAGTGCACACTTTTTGGTACATATTTGAATAATTTCCTAGTATAAATTTGCAGGAAACCACTTAATAAGCTATAGAATATTTTAAAAATTAATACTTTAAAAATAAATTGCTGGCTGGCGCGGTGACTCAAGCCTGTAATCACAGCATTTTAGGAGGATGAGGTGAGGGGATCGCCTGAGCTCATGGGTTCAAGACCAACCCAGGCAACTTGGCAAGGCCTAATCTCTACAATAAATCAAAAAATTAGCCAAGCGAGGTGGTGCACGCCTGTAGTTCCGGCTACCTGGAAGGCTGAGGCAGAAGGACTGCCTGAGCCCAGCAGGTTGAGCCACTGCACACTGCAGCCTGGGTAACGGAGTGAGACTCCAACTCAAATAAATAAATAAATAAATAAATAGCAAAATTGGCTTACATAAGAACTTTAATCTCATTTCCAGCAATAGTGTCCATGTATGTGCTGCCAAGCCTGGGTGGTATATATACACATTTTTTATATTATCCAATTTAATGGCTTCTAGGCAATATGGAAAAAATCATTTTAATTCTGAGGCTCAGATTCCTAACCTGTAAAATTAACTAATGGGTAGGGAAATATAGTCACAGATCATAAAGTTTATACTGATTCCAGAGCCCGTGGGTGTTCAATATGTGAAGTGTAGTTCAATATGTGAAGGGCCGTCGTGGAGTTAGTGACACCAGAAGTGGCAGTTAGTGACACCAGAGGGGGCACACATGGAGAAGCCTTTCTCTGTTAATGCCGTGACTTTCCAGAATGTCTCAGTGGTGATTGCAGATTCCAATTCAGACAGTGATGTGGATAACAGATATAATTTGAATGTCTGATCGTTTTTCTTTTTACCCTGTTAAACTGCTTGCTGCATGAGGGCAGGGATCTTCGTCTGTTTACTGATATATCTTAAGCACTTAGCACAGAGCCTGACCATAGTAGGGGGTGAATAGTACATATCTTTGAATGAATGTATAAGCTGATTGTAGATACCCTATCCTGGTCATGAGTCTGCACACCTGGTACCCAGTAGTGTGTCCTCCCCAGATGAGTATGGATGCACAGCCATGAATGATGCCTCTTGGACTTGCCCCTTCCCAATTCCCACTGCTGTTTCTCACTAAGAACATCTTTCTCAGGGATTTAATACATTCAGCCTGGCTAAGATTCATCCTCTCCTACAAGAAGCCACACTCTTCAAATCAATGTTGGGTCTCTGTGCTCTAACCCACTGTGGATTGGTTCATTGTTCAGCTCAGAGGGCAGAATTATTTCTTAGGGGCACTCCATTGTGTCTTTTTGAACTCTTGGAGCAACTACCTCATGGGGTGATTACGTATGTATTATATGAGAAAGCAAACATGTAAAATATTAAATTGTTGATCTAGACAGTATAAAGTGGTAGCTAAAAGCCCAGGTTCTGAAGCCAGACCTTCTCAATTTAAATCTGAGTTTCACAACTTACTTGCTGTGTCACCTTAAGTGAGCTATTTAATCATACTGTGTTCACTTTTCTCATCTATACAACGCAAATGATAGTACCTACCTTCTAGGACAAATGTGTGCATTTAAAAAGTTAAAACGTGAAGTAAAAATAGTAAGTAAACATTACTTACTGTTTTGATCATTATTACTAGCAGTAATGCTGACTTCATTGAAAATTTCCTTATATATTTGCCATACGCCAAATATATGCTATCTCAGCTAATCCTTAAAACAATTATATGGGCTAACCCTACTTCACTAATAAAGGTGTTGAGGTTCAGAAAGCTTTAGTAACACCCTAAAATCATATAGCTAGTAAGTGGTAGAGCCTGGATTTAAATGGAGTTGTGTCTAAAATATTCTCATATTGAATTATTTCTCTCAACAGAATTTGAAATATCTGCATTCTTGTTGATATTATAATTTTTTATCTTATTTTTAGGCCTTCTAGATATGCTCAAAACCTCAGGACATTTTTCAAAAAACTAACTTTAAATGCACGTGAATGTTTAAACATCTATCTATTGGTTTGAAGGTTTATCGTTTCTAAAGATCCTAAAAGTTCTTGAGTTATACTGTGGTCCAGTTCATCAATCTCTGCGTTTCTTGTACTAGGATTTCAGCAAACTCAGTCGATTAAATAATTAACTACAGTTTCAAAACTGTAGGGTGGCAAATGATGACCAAAACAGACAATTTGTGTTGTTTCATGATGTAGAAATAGTGAGGATATAAAACCTTTCCTTGAAAGATCAAAATGTAACCATTTCAGTATTGCTTTTCAATGGCAAGTTGAAGTTGCACATGTTCCAACTTAACAGCGATTCTCTACCCAGTGTCCTGACAGCAGAAGCAGTTCAGACTCATCTATTGTAAAGTGACTGCCAGTGTCCTGACACCAGAAGCAGTAGAGACTCATCTATTGTAAGGTGACTGATTGACTGAGTGCCCTGCAAGTGGCCAATATCCTTTTCATAGCCGTGACAGACAGAAATGTGAACCCATTTCAGACACTCCCAGCACACAAAACAAGGAAAACAGAAAAGCAATCCATTTACAGATGTCAACATAGCTATTGTCTTTGTGTATATAATTTGCTGTGCCACGTCTGACAGATTATTTTTTATGTTCTTGAGATTTATCTTGTTTTCATTGAAATATATCATAAATATTCTGTTACCTTTTGCCAGGCAAGTGAATTGTGATATTTGGCAAAAGTGCCTTGCAGAGTCAAGGGATTAAGGTTTAGAGAGCAAGCATGGTTGAGTTGGCAGGGTGGTGGTAACTTGTGCATACTTATTTTGGAAGTACATTAGAATGTTAGTTATGATAACATGGGTGTACACGGGATTCAACTTGATGTTTGACGATCTTATTTTTCTCTTCAACAGGTTGATTATGTATGGTTTTGTGATGGCTATGGTATATGCTGGCCAGTTGAAAAATGGAGACTTTCATTTCACTGACTGTTTATTTTTTGGTTCACTGATGTCTGCTACAGATCCAGGTAATTACTCAAATAATATATTTCCTTCTTTTAAAGAGTCAAACATTTAAAGTGAATGTTTCTCCCAAGACCATCACCTGGGTCTACATAGTGATAACTCTTTATCCCTCATTGCTTGCAGTTGACACACCTATTAACAATCACACAAAAAGAGGAAACGGGTGACTATTCTAATAGTGTTCAAGAAACTGGTCAAGAAGCAATTTCAGTAGGGGGAGAGACTCTGTTAAATCAATATAGTTTATTTCTCTAGAACATATCGTTATTTTGAGTATAGTCCTTAATTTCCCTTCATTCAACTCAGCTTTTCTTTTGAAGAGGATTTATTGAATCAAATGGGTTAAAAATATTTAGAAATTTGTTTATCATGGAATTTTTAAACATATCAGAAGTAGGGAGAATAGTAAAAATAATTGCCATATATCCTTCAGCAACTATCAAATATGGTCAATCTTTTTATCCATATTTCCTCATACACACTTCCTCTCATCATGACTGGATTATGTTAAAGCAAATCCCAAACATAATATCATTTTGCTTGTAAGTGGTTTTTTTTGTTTGTTTTGTTTTAAAACAAAGTTTGTTAGAGAAAGAGGAGCAAAGAGTGTAAGTATTTTGAAAAACAACCGTTGCCATTATAAAACCTAAAAATATTAACAATCATTATTTAAGAGTATCAAGGATCTAGTTATTGTCCAAATATCCCCAATTGTCATATTGCCATTATCATTATTAGTTTGTACACATCAGGATCCATACAAGAGCCACACATTACAACTGATTGATATGACTCTTGAGTCTCTTATTTTTTTTTTTTTGAGTTGGAGTCTCACTCTGTCGCCCAGACTGGAGTGCAGTGGCCGCTTCCGGCCACCGCAGACTCGACCTGCTGGGCTCCGGCGATCCTTCCGCCTCAGCCTTCCAAGTAGCCGGAATTACAGGCCTGCGCTACCACGCCCGGCTGATTTTTTTTGATTTATTGTAGAGATGAGGTCTCACTGCCCGGGCGGGTCTCGAACCCGCGGGCTCAGGCAATCCATTCACCTCAGCCTCCCAAAGGCGCGGGATTACAGGCTGAGCCACCGAGCCCGGCTGACTCTTGAGTCTCTTAATGTTCCCCTTTCATTTTCTATTTTCTTGTCATTTACTTGTTTGAAAAAAAGAGGTAATTTGTCTTGTTGTTGAACTGAGTATACGTCCTTAAAATGTTCTTCTATGCCTCGTATTTCTTGTGAACGAACGGTTAGATCTAGAGACTTGATGGTTGTGATCAGACGCAGGTTCAACTTTTTTGGCATGATGACTTTACAGGTGGTGCTGCGAGCCTTCTATTGCATCACATCAGGAGGCAAATAATGATTAGTGACTCAGCTGTCAGTCTGATTTATCACATTATTGAATTGCTGCTCCAGCAAAGACCAACAGAACACACCTGTAGTTGAACAAGATGGTTTTATTACACATTGCAATGAAAGCGAACATTCACCATGGGAACCATGGGGCGTCTCAGTGTATGGTAGAAAGAACTTATTATTACAGGACTTTAGTTTGTGTTTCGTGATTTCAGGGAGGGTTGAAGGAATCAGGGCTTTGCTCTGGATTCCCACTTCCTCGTGTCAGGAAGTGGGAATAACTCCAGAATCGGGCATCTTAGTTAAGTCTTATTGAGAAGGAGGAATAGATAAAGAAGCAGTGGTCACTCATGGTAGCCAGGATAGGGGGGTGTTTGGTCAGGTTTGTGTTTTGGACAATGTTACTTATTTGTATTTAGACTTATTTGTATTTAGACTTATTTGTATGATTACATAGTAGTTCTGTTCTTGTCTTGATCCATCGTGGTCATAGAGTCACCTTGTCTGATATCAATCTGTGAAGTCATTTTTGTTCAGCCGGAGAACACCACAGCCCAGCTGCGGTATCTGGCCAGCTCTTGGGTTACTTTTCTCTTTCATAGGACGACTCTTAGACCAGTAGTATTGGCACCACATGGTGACTTGTTATAAATGCAGAATTTCAAGCGCAACCCTGTACCTAGTGAATGAGATGCTAGAATTTAACAGTATTCTGGAGTGATTCATATGCACATTTCAGTTTGAGAAACTCCACATCTTAGAGTTCCCCATTTTGCCCAATAAGTTTAGTACCCATCAATGGTTATTACTTAATCCAGTATTTATTAGGGCTTACAAACTTTTGGTATTCTAATTCAGTCCTACCTTTTGCATTTATTAGCTGATACTCTCCTTAAAGAAGTGGTTTTCCAGTTCAGTCATTTCGGTACCCAGTGGTGTAATTTAAACAACAAAAGCAGAACAAATAATCCACTCTTTCCCTTTATTTACTAATTTTCAAAATAACATGTTAGGTAGCATCATTCACAAATTACCAATAAAATGAACTTTTAAGAAAATATCATTGTGAACACAAGAATCTTTACAAAGTTGATATGCTTTCATCTACTTTTGTAATTATTCTTTCTGACGATTAAAATATTTCATTTTTGACAAGTGGGAACCTCTTCAAATTTCTCCTGGATCCTTTTGTTATGACCCTAATGGTATTTTATAGATTTCTTGCTTTTGGGTAGGATTAGATGTTCCAACCTTATCTTATATATTTCCTGTTGCCTGATTCAGAATCAGCCATTTCTCCAAATAGCCTTGGTTCTTTTGAAAAGGGAAATGTATTTACAGACCACAATTTGGGCGCTAAGGGTTTTTATTACTGCTGCATTGGTCATTGTTTCTAGACATTTTTTGTTAAGGAGAAATTATACCATAAATTCATATTAATCTTTTCAGTTAAAATGTGGTATTATAGAATCTTTACTTAACTGCCTTGAATTTTTATTTTTCCCTACATTTCTTCTTCCTGCACATTAATATAATTTCTTACTTGCTAAAAATATATATTCCCAAAATTATAATACACATATTATTACTAAAATATGATAACTGAAAACTGCTTAAGATTTTACTGTGGTTATTTTTAACCTCTGGATGTATCCCACTAGTGATGTACAGTTAAAAATTACTCTGTTTTAAAATCTCTTAAGATAATTATAAAGTTATAGGTAAGCCACAACTCTATACAGGATAGTGTTTATTTGTTCTATTTTCTTTTACTTTTTGTTCTAAAATAGATAAAATATCTATAAAGTTCCAAAATGAGGCTGGGCTCGATGGTTCAGCCTGTAATCCCGCACTTTGGGAGGCCGAGGTGAGTGGATTGCCTGAGCCCGCGGATTCGAGACACGCCTGGACAACTTGGCGAGACCTCATCTCTACAATAAATCAAAAAATTAACCAGGCGTGGTGGCGCACGCCTGTAGTTTCAGCTACTTGGAAGGCTGAGGCAGAAGGATCGCCGGAGCCCAGCAGGTTGAGGCTGCAGTACAGGGAGCAGCCACTGCACTCCAGTCTGGGTGACAGAGTGAGACTCCAACTCAAAAAAAAAAAAAAAATTCCAAAATGAAAATCACAGAACAAAATAATAGAAATGTTGCCCAGGCTGGAGTGTAGTGGAACGCTCACGGCCACCTCAGTCTTGACCTGCTGGGCTCAGGTGATCCTTCTGCCTCAGCCTTGCAAGTAGCTGGACATACAGGCACATGCCACCATGCTAATTTTTTGATTTATTGTAGAGATGAGGTCTCACCAAGTTGCTCAGTGTGATCTCAAACCAGTGGGCTCAGGCAATTCTCTCACCTCAGCCTCCCAAAGTGCTGGGATTATAGGCGTGAGCCACTGCGCCTGGCCTGTTTTTTCTTTTCTTTTTCTACTAGTTAGCTAACAATTTATTTATTTATTTATTTATTTATTAATCAATATTTTTTATTATGGTTTTGTGGGGTACAGTTAAGGGTTAGGTGTACAATTACGTTTCATTCAGGCACCCTGTTGATAAGAGGTGTTTTCCCATCCCCAGACAGATATTTGCTACTGTTAATCCCATTCCCCTCCCCCCCCATAGTTTCCCAGTACTGGCAGTCATTTTCTTATAGTATTACATTGGATGTTCAAGGTCCATTATATGAGTGAGAACATATGATACTCAGATCTTTGTTTCTGTGAGAAGTCACTCAGTATTATAGACTCTAGTTCCATCCAGGTTACTGCGAAATTCATGATTTTGTTCTTTTTTATGACTGCATAGTATTCCATCATGTATATGTACCACATTTTTTTAATCCAGTCCTCTTTTGATGGGCAGCATGCTTGTTTCCAGGTTCTTGCTATTGTGAACAACGCTGCGATAAACATACGTGTGCAGGTATCTTTTTTATAGAGTGATTTGAGTTCTTCAGGTATATTCCAGTACGGGGATTGCAGGTCATATGGAAGGTCAATTTTAGAGCTTTTAG